CTTTATAAAATGACTTTTTTTTTGCTCGGGGGGGGGGGCCCTTGGGTTTCCGGGGGGGGGCAGCCCCCCCCCCCCCCCCCCGGAGATATAGCTGAAAGAAACCCTGGCTCTGTGTTGTCCTGCATGTTTCTTCGACATTATTTGTGAGGCAAAGTATAAGTGACATTGGCATACTTTGCAAATTTGATCAAGTAAGCTGGTCTGCAAAGATGGACAATAAAAATCATATAGTTGTACTTTGAAAACGACTGTTGATCTCGGCAAGGCTTTACATAAAACAAGGCTTCGCAACAGCATACTAGTATTACTAGCGCTCCTAGCGAGAGGAATCGTGAACAACACATTCAGAAGATACGCATTTCATGCTATTTTGACATACTAATTCAAATGTTTCACAAAATTTTTGAAAATTATAAAGCTATTAAATTCTTCTAAAAAAATAAAAATAAATTGGAAGTAAAATGTAAAAACAATAAATGTGTGACGTCAAACATGGCCTAATCCCCCCTCCCCCCTGTCACACTTTGTTACACCCCCTCCCCCTCTCTGGGGTGACGTACTTTATAGACGGCCCCTTACCAGACGTCCGTATTTAGTCTTAATACGGACATTTTGTATTTTCGACCCCCTTGTCCGTACTAATTTTTGCGTCCGTATTTGTCCGTACTTTCTTTTCGTCATCCGGCTTGTCCGTACTTTTGGCAGCGATGGTTTGTTTGTCTTATTTCCATCCGTCTTATCTTTTATTCCTCCGCAAAGGCCAACGCAGTGAATAGCTTCAGCTCCATCAGACAGTCCCAAAATAGCATATTTATATCTCCAGCGCTATAAAAATATCATGCAATATTGTTAAGGAATTATCGTCATAATGTTGCCATTTCTTTTTACAAATGAACTAGTTAGATATCGTTTCAATAGTACTCGGTAGTAGTGGTATTACAGCAATATTTCGTCCACCGTATCATCAATGGGCTAGCTCAGTGGTCCTGTAATGTTTCGATTCCCTGCGCTTACACCAAATTAAGGCTTTCACCATTCTTATGCCACTCTCTCTGATACTACTTTTCAGTTCAGTGCTATTTTTATTTTATTCTGTTTCTAATGTTTTTTGTTCGCTGATGAGGAAATGTTGCACCTGGGGCGAAGCCGGAAAATGGTGCCACTTATTGTATAGAAGAAGAGGCCCCAGTGGCGGATGAGGAAAAAAGAAGATTTTTGCCCCCTCTCCGGTCTTTCTGAAGTATATGGGATTTGATATTTTAATGCACTATTAAGATCATATCTAAAGAAGATTCTGGCGCCCGCTGTGACTGCCCCCTTTGCCCTACTCTCATGGCTATGCCCGAGGGCAACATGGCACCCAGAGCGACGCATATTATGTCGACTAGTGGGCGGGAAAAACGGTCGGAGGAAAATACCCACGACATATTTTTTTTTTTTTAATCCTGTGACGTCACAATTATCTATTAAATTATTTGATTTCTTTTAGGTTCTAATAGGGATTGAGGCTAAAAGCTTCTTGTACGCACGAGTTTGGAAAAAGGGGGAGGGGGGGGGTAAAAAAAGTCAAGCACAATACCCCACCCACCCCCACCCGGCCGGCATGGTTCCGGTTGCTGTGAGCCTTTGTGTCCGTACTTGGCATCCAGCTATTCTGGTAAGCTTTTAAATTAATAGAAAATTTATATTCTTATACAGTAGAAAACTTATAAACATAGATGGCCGATCAAATTTCATGGTTAAGAGAATTAAGGGAGCGGCGTTTTCTGTTCTTGCGCAAAAAACAACAAACAAAAAAAAAAAAAAACACAAAAAAAAAAAAAGTAGAAAACTTATAAACATAGATGGCCGATCAAATTTCATGGTTAAGAGAATTAAGGGAGCGGCGTTTTCTGTTCTTGCGCAAAAAACAACAAACAAAAAAAAAAAAAACACAAAAAAAAAAACACCTCCAATGCATGACTAATTTAACGCCGGAACTGGGAATGAGCGCTGAATAAATGTTTTAAAAATTGAAATTGGATCAACATTAAATTAATTTTGAAACTTATAAGGTGAACCGGAACATTCATGTTGAATTTATGTTGAGTTTATTATTATTATTTGTTTAAGATTTTTTTGACGGAGTGACCAGGTGTACTAAAGTCTAAGCTTTACTTCTTAGGACAATGACAATATCAAAAACAAAACAAAAAACAAAAAAAAATAAGCGAGAGATATATTTGAGAGGAGTAGAGTAGCTACAGCTAAGAGTCTAGAGTTGGTGACGCCTAGGTTTAGCGCGGTCCTTGTTTGCCCCCTCCCCCCCCCCCCCAAAGAAAAACAANATATTTTTTAATTCAATTTATGTTTTTATTTATTGCTTGTTATGACACTGTTGCCTTTATATGACACTGGGTGGAAAACCAGGAGGGGGGGGGGTGAGGGGGCCCAGACAGATGTGAACTAAAATAAAATCTTAATGAGCTATCATTTCTACGTAAAGTTATATTGTTATGAATTGTAATTAGATGGATACGTTCTCATCAGAACATTATGCTCTTTTTGATGTCAACTTTTTACGTTATCTTCGACAATTTATTTTGTCAAACATACTTTAAATGTAACTAATGTAGATGTATGCTTGAACTTTTTACAATTTGAATTGATATTATGTATAATATATATATATATTAATATATATATTATACATGAATATGAAATAGAGATGTATTATCACTTGACTTATTAATTAAAGTTATTATGAAAGGAAGTTTTATAATTTATTTACTCTAAATTAAAGTGATAAAGTGTTCAAATTTAAGTCAAAATCTAAAATAAATCATAATGAGCCTAAATCAGATTGAGATGTATAATATGTATAAGTCGAAGTATAAAATAAAATAAAATTAAAATGTCTTCAAATAAATAGGAATAATGACACTAATTAGTTAGTAATGACAGTATTAGTATTGATAGATGCTGACGTTAGGTTAAAGTGGAATCAGAAAACTTCGGCAAACTCACGCTAGACTGGCTTGATGCAAATATCACTAGTGTCTATACTATAAGAAAGGTGACCGTCATAACCCAGCAAACTACCGTCCAATATCCCTGACCTCCGTCCCATGCAAAATTCTAGAACACATCATCTGTCGCCACATCATGAACCACCTTGAACACTACAACATTTTGACCAACCTAAACCACGGTTTCTGCTCTGGATTCTCAACAGAAGCTCAATTAATCATCACCACCAATGACCTTCTCGCCTCCTGTGACAAAGGTACCCAGGTTGACATTACAATTCTTGACTTCTCCAAGGCCTTTGACACTGTTCCACACAGCCTTCTTCTACATAACTATAAGCTCCACCACTACGGCATTAGTGGCAACCTTCACTCCTTGCTCTCAACATTCCCAACACAACTTACCATGCAAGTAGGGGTAGACGGCGTTAGATCAGGGAAAGCCACCGTAGACTCAGGAGTTCCTCAAGGCACAGTGCTGGGCCCCCTTCTCTTTCTCTGTCATATAAACGACCTCCCTGATACTGTAAAATCTCAAGTGAAGCTGTTTGCAGATGACTGTCTTGTCTACAGAGAGATAAATGGCTCCAATGACCACAACCACATCCAAGCAGATTCAAAGTGCCTTATGAATTAGGCGGACAAATGGGGCATGAAATTTAATGAAACCAAATGCTACACAATGACCATCTCAAGAAAAAATCCATCAACCTATAGGTGCTCCCTAAACAAGACAATTCTCCAACAAGTATCCAATAATCAATACCTTGGAATTCTCTTCTCATATAACCTAAAATGGTCACCCCATATAAACAAAATTTCAAAAAAAGCTAACTCCACACTTGGGTTTCATTAAAAAAATTTGCGCCATTGTCCAACGTCCTGCAAACAAAATGCCTACCTCGCACTCGTCCGTCCACTACTAGAATATGGTGCAATCATCTGGGACCCACCCCTAAAGCAAGACGTGGACAAGCTGGTGTGCTTCATTGCACATGACTACAAATCCACCACTTCTGGCTTCATCACCGGCCTCTTAAAAAGATTTGACATCCCCTCTCTTAAAGACAGACGAGAGGGGCTCCACTTGATATTCTTATATAAAGTGGTCGTGGAGCTGGTGCCGGCCATTCTGCCAGGCACGTACCTCACCCCACAGAAACCGGGTCAATTGATTAGAGCCAAATGCTCACTGAACATTGATTTCACCACTGACAACCCCATAAACAATTACACCCTAAATAACAGCAAATGCTTCATCATGCCTCGGTGTAACACAGTGCAGTATAAACAATCATTCTTCCCACCCACAATAATTGCTTGGAACCACCTGGACAATGCCGCTGTGGACTCGACATCGGTCAAAAGCTTCAAGGCTGCCCTGGCATCTGCTAGGAGCTGTTAGAATAGCAACATCGCTTCCCCAACCATTGCACAGATGCCAGTATATGGATGCAGCAACGAACACTACCAGAACCAGAACCTTAATGATGATGAAATCTCCAGTACACTTTGTCATTAATTTTATAAATTTAATTGCATTAATTCAATCTACATTGAATTGACATTGAAGTTTTAAATTTCATTACCAGCAGCCTACCATAAATTTAAATATTTATTTAATTTGGAAAAATTGAGATTTCTCAGTTACAAGTATTTTGGTGAAAATAATGAAAAAAAACCAAGATGCCTAGGCCTAGGCCTAGAGAGAGGACTCAAATGATTTAACATAGGCATACATTGAAACGAGGACATAATGAACTATGAAATAGCGCTGTCTCTGGCACGCTGTTAACTCACCCCAGATGATTTTTTCAACACCAGCAAATAGCACTACTTTTGCTTTGGTCCCAAGGCCAAGGGTTTTGCTTTTTCCAGATTTCAATGATCAATGCAATTAAATTCAAATAGTTGTTTCTTACATGCTCTAAAAATGAATTATCATTTATATTAACAAGAAACCTATTAATTAATCTTTAAAAATTGACTTCAAATTCCAGGGAGAATGAAGATGACATTGCAGCATTTCCAGTTGTTAAAGAATCTGGTGACAAACTTATTGAGTCAGGAATCAACACATTACAAAAAACACTTCTTCTTAAAAAAGAGGTTGAAGTTGATAAGGTCAATGCACAGCTTGAAGCTAAACGCTATGAGTTCAAACAACGCATGGAAATGTGTACACAGCGTCAAATTCAGTTACAGAAAAAACAGCAAGAGGTATTTAATACAAATAATTTTTTCATTGATCAGTGTGACAAGATAAACAGCACACAATCAATAATACATATTCTTGTGCTTCTTTGCCTTTTCTACTACCTACCAGTGGAGCATAGACCATTAAAAATTGCTTTCCTAGCCTCCCAGTCTTTAGCAATCTTTTCTAACACTTTCCATTCTTTATCACATCTTTTGGAACATCTCTTTGCCAGGTTTTTTTGGGTCTTCCTCATCCTCTTGATCCATGAGGAATCCGTGTCAGTGCTTTTTATATTAAGCATGAGTTTTCTAGATGTGACCTGTCCATCTCCATCTTCTTTCCTGGATTTCTTGCTCCACTTGGATTTGTGCTGCCATTGTGTTTGAGATTTTGTGGAACCACTTGATATTGAGGATTTTCCTCAAGCATAATGCACGAAGGTTGCAGTCTCTTTTCAATCTTTCCTGGTTGATCTCCAGCTTTCTGAGCCATTAAATGTAACTTACCTAACATATGAGTTAAAAATTCTAATTTTTGTCTTTATCTTTATTTGCGTATATTCCCCAATTTTTTAAAATAAGATAATATAGATTACACCTACAAAAATCACACATCTCTGTACTGGAATGAGAAAGAATGAGAATACTGTGGGTCTATGGTATTTGTAAACTATTTATAAATTGTTCTGTTCATGTAAGTCTATCGAAATTCCTTTAACTTATACTCAATGTTTTAGTCAGAGTATGATTCACTTACTCTTTCTTTAGATATATTACAGGGGAATGATAATATATAAGATCAACAGATGTAAGTTTAAAGCATCAATAAACCTTATGTTAATATTTTTACTGTTAAATCTAAATGATTTTCTCACAAGCAGTCATAAAGTATCTTCAGTATGGTCTTATATCATATTACATCAAAAAGCAGAGCTGTTTTGAAAAATCTCTTTCAGATCCTCTATTACACTGCATTTATTTCTACATGTTCATAATTTCTATCCAAAATTATTATGGAGATATGTGCCAGATGAAAAGTTATTCTTTAAAAAACAAATGATCAAATGACTAAAAATTCATAGTTAAATCAAGTTTTTAAAAGATTAAAGCAGGGTTTCCCAGCTTTGGGTGCTAGCTCTGTAAGGGGTGCGACATAGAAACATTTTATTTATATAATAAGTCACAAGTTTATTTTCCAAGTTCTTAAGTTAGATTTCAATAATTTAAAAATTTTAAAATGCTTCGTTACTTTTGTAGGGGGTGCAAGACTTAGTTAAACAACTCATATGGGATGTGGAATATAGACAAAGTTGGGAAACACTGATTATTGAAATGTTGCTATTGTCAGGGATGTTGAGAGTTGACTGAATGTGGATTTTGATACTTTATCTGCAACAATAATAGAAATATTTTAAAACTATTAAAATTGCTTATCTCATTTTTTCAGTATAATCTTTAATTTATTTTATGGTTATAGATGAAAGACAGAGTAGCTAAATTTGAAAAGTTCATACAAGAGAATGAAGCAAAAAGACGCAGGGCAATCCAGAAATATCAACAGGAAGTCAGATTGAAAGAGCAGAAGACCATCGAATTCTCATCTTTACAAGATCAGTTAGAATATTTTAAGAACAGGTCGATATCTTCTAACTGTTTAATGTTCAAATTGTTGGTTAATAAGAATATATAAAACTGAAACATGAAAAGTCTCATCTATGCTGCATCATTTTAAGAAAAATATAAATTTTTATTAATGAAACTTTACTGTAGAGCATAATGAATGTCATATTAGAAAATATTTTTTTTTGGTGGTGGTTGGGGGGGGGGGGGTTGGTTAAAATGTGTGTTGAAAAGCTCTCATTTTGTGTTTTATTCATTAGTGTATGTAAATATAATATTTCTTTTTTTTTTTATTCTCTTGATCAGACATAAAATGCTTGAAGCGAAATTAAAAGCTTATACAGTTTATGAAAAGTACCTTAGAAGTGTTGTTGATGCAATGCCAGAAGGTATGGCAGGCTTTTTAAAATTTAATTGCTTACCCTTTTTTTTCCTTAACTGGTCGCTATTTGTAGTAATAAAGAATTTATGTTTCATTTAAATGAGATTATATTAAATTTGTCATAAAATTTTTCCAACATTCAATACCTTTTTTCAATTGAAGATTTTAGTATATCCAAAGACAAAACCCACAAAGATAATGCACACAAAAATAAAGCACACTAGCAACATTTCTGTATACTAAATTTTAACCAAAATTTTTAGGTTTAAATTTATAATTAATCTTAACTTTATCAAGTTAATGTAGTTTATACCTTCTTAAAACAGATTATCTCCCATCAACGGAGGACAAGGTTAAAGGATTAATGATGCGGCATCGAACATTGAGTGAGTCCAACAAAGGCTTAGTTGACAATCTAGAGACAATAGCAGATGAGGTAATTTCTTTGATGCTCTTTCTTAAAACTCTGCTCTGTGTCCACTTGTTATGTCCCTTTCATTTTGTTATAGTAATTCAAAAGAAAAAGAAAACTTTAGGTTTTCTTCCTTTAATCAAAGAAGAGCCTGAACTTTCAGATTTAATGTTAACTAAATTTTTTTGACAAAAATAAAATTAAAAAATTGAAATAAAAAAAAAATTAATAAAGGTTGAAATCATTATGGAAAACTGCATACAATATAATAGTATTATTTTATTATTAATGCAAAATATGTTTTCAGTACTCAGAGGGCCATGTAGTTTTCTGTAAATTCTTAAAGAATTTGTTTATTTCCTAAACTTATTTAGAATGGCATATTTTATTATAATGAGATCATATTTTTTTTTCATTGCCTTATAAAAACAGGATTAAACTTAAAAATATGTATGCTCTCCTGTTACTATATCGTATAATTATAATTTCATTTGATTCTTACACCAGTTGGAAGTCTGCAGAAAAGAACTAGAAACTCTTAAACAAGAGCACCAGAAAAGTCGCCTGTCAAATACATCCATGTTATCTCACCTGGTGGAAAAACAAGAAGTAATTCAAGGTAGCAATGACCAAAAAGAACTGAAATTTATAATGACCAGTGAGGACATGAGATCCAAGGTATAACTATTTGTGTACTTCAGGGAAGCTAAATAATAATAATCAAGATTAGCTTTATATAATAATGGTTCAAAAAATTTTTTTTTAAAAATTAGAAATTAGTTATGCTCAAGATATGGGAAAGCATCAAATAAAGAAAAAAACCAATGCATTAGAGTTTTTGTCTGAAAGCCATTTTTGGTGGAATAGAACAAATACAAAAATGAGAAAAATAAGATTTTTTTTAACGATTTTTTTTTTTATCTTGAGGGTACTCTTGGTTTAATAAAGAAGGAGCTTTACAAAAATTCTTGATGAACTTGAAATCATTTGTTGCTTTTAAGAAAATACTCAGTTTTAAAACATGGCATGTAAAGGCATATATTTTTATTTTTCTCTTTCTTTGACCCCAGAGAACAGAGGCTGGTATCATATTCATGGCTATAGACAACATCTATGAAAAATGTAGGAAACCGACTGACCCTCCACTTGGTAAGGGAGAATGGGACCAGAAACTTAACAAAATCAGGGTAAGTAACACTTCATTGGGTTTTTATCTGTTTTCCATATGAAAACAGCCAGGGGATTCTGAGATTGTTCCCATAAATTAAATTACTTAAATTTTAATAAATTTAGCTTGATATTTTTAATACTTATTTAATAAACTACATTTTTAGGATTATGTCCGTGAAAGAGAAGGTGTGGCACAAATTGTTCAGAAAAAAACAAGTTCTACATCTGGCAGTGCATCTCAAGAACAAACTCGAGCCAGATCAAGAACAAAGGAAACAGAAGCCAAGGCTCTTCTGAAAGGTCAATAATGGAGACTCATTGAAAAATCATGTATAAATATTTTCTGTAAATATTTCATATTTCAAACAATTGGAGGACCGTTTAATGGTGGAACATATAATGGTGGATCATATAATGGTGGACCACATAGTGCAGTCATGTATGTGGAGTATGTCTTGAATGTTTTAATTTATTGTAAATTTGGCTTATTATATTTTAAGAAATTATTTACATTCACATGTAAATTGATTCAATGTATATTATTGTTATCCGAAATGCATAATTGAGTTTATCAATTACATAAGACCCACTCGCAGGGCGGGACTTAGACTTACTGACACCCTAAGCTATACAAAGTTGAGAGGCCCCCTACCATTTTAAATTACATCCCCTGGTAAAAAAAAAAAAAAAATTAAAATATATAGCCAGCAGATTGTGAGGCCCTAAATTGTAAGCTTATTTAGTTTATAGGTAAATTTTGGTACTGCCCACACCCCACTTTGCATTTGGCAGTCAACCCATTTCCCCTGCTTGCTTAATTCTTACAACTTATCCTTGCTTCTTCTTTTAAAAATAAAAACAAGAAGAATGACAATACTTCCATCAGCCTATAAAAATACAATGTGTTACATAAACTTTCTATTGGTAATCACTTAACAAGCAACTAAACTTAATGCATTTGACACTTCCTTACCAAATCTTCTGAAAACAATTTTAGTAGATTATTTGATATGTGTAGAGAAGAAATTTTAAAAGTTTAACTGTGTTTGTAACTTAATCACTATCTTCTTTGACAAGTGGCAAACAGAGTCAGTAGAACTCATAGAGACACAAATGTGCAGAGGATCTGTGGTCCAAGTCAGGTCACGGGAAGATCATCTGAATGACACCAGCCCTCCCCACACTTGGGAGATAGACTAATTTATTTGTGTACAACTTGGGTTAAGCTATGAAAACATTTTTAAAAAATGTTTCATATTTAAAAATGTTATAAACACTAGAAACAAACTGATCCCTAAAAATGAAAAGTGAAAATGATGCAGAGTCATTTCATCAATTTATCCTGATCAAGAAATTCATCCCAGCCAATCTCATTGCTTAAACACTTGTCTTCCTTGTTTCCATTTAAAACAAAAAAATTAAAATCCGCCTTTCTTGACCATTATTTGTAAAGTAAAGTTAAAAAATGCCTGGAAAAATGTCAAGTTTTGCTATTCTGAAGTTAATAATGGTAATTCTAGACCACACGCAATTGTTGGTTTAATCTCAGACAGATAATAAGATGCAGTTAAGTAGATTAGGTTATATATGCTAAAACTAAAACCTGATTATAATATCCTCATAATTATCCAGAGGACACAAAATAGAATATCTTTGTATTCATTTAAAGAATGTAAAAGCATTATCTTGTTGTTAACATTTATTCAGCATTATTTTGGTGCTGAATCTTGCAGTTGCTGTCAGTTGGTTTATTAATTGATGTGTATTTTCAAACCCTGTTTTGTGTGTAAATATATTTTTTACATCTTTAAAACCTTACTGAAGGCAACAGATGATGATGTATTGCACCTTTGGATTTTAAGGATGTTATTAAATAAATATTTATGTCCATGTACAATTTCAATTAAGGAATAAATGTTTTAACAAGATTTAGCTAGACCAGACAAGGAGAGTACTGATAACATGATAAAATTTTTAATTTTATATTAACGAGTGTTCAAACTTTTTTCCGACATTTAAACATTATATTTATAAATGTATAATTATTTTTTTAACATGAAATACAGTTTATTTGATATATAAATATCTTGTTGAAGGGAACATATTATTACATTTCTTTGAAAACAGTTTAACATAATTATTTCCCTTTGTATACTGCTAGACAGAATTATTTTCTAGCATCCAGGAAAATTTAAACTACGCTTTGCTTTAGTTAATCATTATTATAGGGGATAATTCCATTTTTTAATGCTGGGGCATTCTGCCCATTTTATCTTCTATTATCTGATCATATAATTATTGCTCATAGATTTAAGTATGATATTTATGTATACATATATATTTTTTTCTGCTAAAGGATTTTAGACTGAATTTTCATAACTTAAGCTTTACCCTAGTTCTTAATGACTTTCTTTCTTCTTACAAACACATGGAGTTTGTCAAGTTGTAGAATAATTTTGTGTTGTCACATGTGAACCTCTCGTTAGGTGGATTCAGTAGTTCTTGTAAGGTTGCATCTGAGTTGATGACAGAGTTAAAGCTCCGTTCGAGGGAGAAAAGCTTGTTGGGGTGGTGAGTGATGTGGAAATTAGAAGATGTGATTGAAAAAACAATAACCCCACCTCACCCCTTCACTTACAGTAACCATCAGTCCCAACTGTAGTATTTTTGGATGGGCTGGGGGAAGATGTTGGGGCATCTCTTTAGACATTTAGACTCTGATCAACAGATGGCAAGAAGTCCATTAAATTCTTCTTTTTCGTTTTGCCTGGGTAAAGAGCTAAGTGACTATATCCGAGATTTTGTAAGCATTTGTTGTTAAAAAGACATTCTTCTTTTGTGGATGATTTAAAGATTAACATTTTAATGCTAAAAAGTAGAAAATAAAAAAAAAATTAAAAATGAGTTTCTTATAAGGACAAGTTTAAACTAAAGTACTAATAAGTAGAAAATAATTTTCTTAAAAATTCATCATAAAAAGAAAGTCTGTGCAGAAAATATTTTCACAAATTAGAAGGGAAAAAAAATCATTTAAGTTTCGTCTACATTTAATTGGAATCCTTTGGCTTCATAGAGAGGCTCACCTTTCTGCACATACTTTCTTTGAATAATGAATTTTATGGAATTTTAAGAATTTTATTCTCTACTTTTTAGTGAGTTCAACTCATCTTCAAAAGAAAGTCTTTTTTAAAAGTTTTTAAAATATTTTTTTATTCACACTTAAGGTTTGGGTCTTGTACAACAATCCTTTGTGAATTATCAAAGCAAAGCTAAAAATTGATTTTTTCCCTTCTAATTTTACCCGGGGGTGTATTCATCTTACCAGGATCATATTTTTTATTAAAAATTAAAAAAATTTTAATGGTTATTTTAAGGCATAAGATTGCATGAGGGATAATGATTTTATTTATACATTTCCTTGGCAAATGAAAATTTTATAGTAAAATCATGTAACAAAATGAACTTCATTCTTATTTTAGCCATGTGTAACGGTGAAATTAAGAAGATTTGTTTACTGGTATGATTCATGAAGGTGCCACTTATTGCCTATAATTAATTTTAAATTAACTTAACGTTAAATAATTTAATGCACAAAGACAAGAACTTGTGGGTGGAATCTATTTATAAATTTAATCACTTTACAAATTGATTCAGTTTTAGATTTATCTAAAAGCATTAAATGTACAAAATAAGTAAAATATATCTAAACTAAAAAAGCCAAACTTTCGGGATACTGATCAATGTCATCAATTGAAGTTTTTGGATTAACATAGGTATATACAAAACATATCATTGTAAAAATCAATGTATGCAACTTTTATATAAATCTGAAGAACATCAGACACAACCGTAACATAGACTTGGAAAGATACATATTTAAGTTTGAAAATAGCTATAATAAAAAATAAATTACATTAAAATAATTTAAAAAATCTATTCTCACACAAACCAAATATTGTCTAAATTCAATCAAATGTAAAAGAAACAAATCACTTACTTTTAAAATTGGGTTGAAAAAATATGAAAACCTTTTTTTAAAAAGGGGGGAAAAGATATTAAAAATGTAACACTATTTCACAGGATATTATTGGCTGTTAATCTGAACAAAGCTGCTACATTTTAAAACCCTATCTGTTACTGTGTTAGAAATAGTGAGCTGGAAGACTTTGAGGGACTCTACAGTAACTAAAACATTCCTTATTCTAAGGTTACATGAAATAAACAAAGTTATCAATTACATTATGAGTAATATTCCTCAGCATTGGATCAGACAAACTGAAAACTGAAACAGCTCTGACAACAGATGGGCAAACATTTGTATTTTCAAATAAAACAATACCTTTGAACACAGGAGAGTATCAATATTAATAATGAGAGCCACATTTGAATATTTAAATTTGGTATAAAATTAAAGGAGAATTAAATAAGGTAGCATTTCCTTTATCCAGTGATCATACCAAATTTATATAAAAAAATATGAATTTCTTTAGGATAAGCTTAGTTCAGCCTATATGATTTTTCAAATGCCATACAACAAATGTATACAGTGGAATTTCTGCTGTATGAAATGCTCAGTACACAACTTCATCAGTTTCATGTACTTAAAATAAGTACTCGTGTGTTTTGGCAGCTTGGTTTAAATAAAATAAATAAATTCCATGGTTACCAAGGTGGTATTATGAAATATTTGATCTTCCAATTTATAAATTAAAAAGCTTTGTAAATCTTTAACAAAATTTAAATAGAAATATCATTTTGAAAAAAAAACTTCACTGCTTATGAGACCCATAATGTTGGGCCATTTAATTGTACTACTTTACTGACCCATAATGTTGGGCCATTTAATTGTACTACTTTACTGACCCATAATGTTGGGCCATTTAATTCTACTACTTTACTGACCCATAATGTTGGGCCATTTAATTCTACTACTTTACTGACCCATAATGTTGGGCCATTTAATTCTACTACTTTACTGACCCATAATGTTGGGCCATTTAATTCTAGTACTTGACTGTCAACTTGATGGCTAAACATTGTTAGTATTACAACAAATAAATGCAAGGAATAAAAATGCACCTGAAAGCACTAAAAATGAGTCAGTCTTAAACAACATTAAATTACCACATCACAACTGAAATATATTTGGCATATTTTCCTCAAATTAATAACTGGATGCAATTAGGGTAAATTCAGTGATCAAACCAACATTATAATGGCAGATCAGTACTTCTAACAAAAACAATAATTAATAATATCTTAAAAATAATAACGATGAGAGAATAATTGTGACCTTTCGTAAACATTTTTTAAAAAGTGTTAGTCACTAACGTACAGTGAAATTCCATTATAATGTGATGATTGGGATCCATAAATCAGATTACCTCAATAGTGGGGTCATGTTATAGTTGGGTTTTAAATCATGTGCTAATGAATAAAACATTAATAAAGGAGCCATGCCACAACCGCATCATAACTGAATTCACCTTACAGTGGGGCTTCACTGTAAGTCTAGTAGTATATGAAAGTTAAATTAAAGGTAAAACAGGGAGGTAATCACACTTTTGTCTCTATGTTCTGTGTCAACAACAAGTGTTGCTGCCCCTGTTGGTTTTGTGACTGAGTTGATTGACCCTGCTGTTGCTGTGACTGGTACTGAGGCTGTTGTTGCAAGTACTGAAGCTGTTGCGGCTGTTGCTGAATTTGCATGATTTGCTGCTGGACTAGAGGATGCTGATAAGGAAGATTTGCAATGGCAAGCGGCTGCTGACCCTGACGTTCTTTCTTCCGTCTATCCAGCTCCCTGTTCAGTGCATTTCTGTAGCGCTCATAGCTCATCACAATGTGTTCTAAATCTTGTTTGTAAAGTCGTATCAACAAGGCCGCAAAGTTTTCCAGCTGCTTCAAAGTAAATAATTCCCACTAAAAAATAAAAATGTTTAAAAATGTTACTTCTAAGCCATAAAAGAAAAAATTAATATATATTTATTTGTTAATTTTTTTGAACTAAAGAGCACAGTTTCCACAATAAATTAGTTGATCAGTCTAAAGATAAGCCTCAAAATGTGAAAATCCGTACAACTAAATGACCAGAGCTAAGAGTGGGTTATGGAAGTCAAGAGTGAATCATGGAAATCATGAGAGGCTTATCGAACTTTCTAAGTGAAGATAATAACAAGATAATAAAAAAAAACCTTTAAAAAAAAAAAGAAATACCTTTAGCTTATGATCATGTTCGTGTGGGGCTTTTGAAAAAACTATCAGCCACTCTGGGATTTCTGTGGGGGAAAAAGTATTTCACTGTAAAAAAAAATTCTTTCAAACTTGCCTTAAAATGAATTTAAAAGATATGTGCAAAATATTCTTTAAACCCACAAGGACAACTGCAAGAAACAATAACCTTATTTAAGACTGTACTTTAATGTGTAGAGATTATTGCTTTACCAAAGGTCATTAAGCTAATAAATTAAACAATATCTTGAGATTGATTTCATTTTCTATGTAGTCAAATCTTGTTCTCTGATTCTGCTATTTTACAACAAAATGTAACTAAAATTCACCTGTATTTAAATATGGATTGGCTGGTACCAACTGTTTATTCTGTCTGAACTCTAGGTGTGGGGGGATACGGTCGGGTATGATGCCTACACCGTAACTAAGAAGCATCCCTTGGGCAGGACTGCACGGATGATGGTACTGGGCGGTACGAGTTATATGGCTGTTCATGTAAAAACAACAGAAAAAGGGCATGTTGCGTTGATGGAACTGGCTAGAAAAAGTAATGAGTGCTCAAGAGAAAAAGTCATTAGCTGGAAATGCTAAGTAGATGTAAATGGCGAGATCATTTTTAATTTAAGTGGCTTCCTTTTGATGAATAATATTTTTTTTGAAAGGGTTTAAATAAGCTTGAACAAATTGATGACTTTGCAACTTACTTGTAGTAGTAAACTCCCCTTTCTTTTGATTCTATCCTCTCCCAGTCAGTGGGTAACGACTCCTTCTCTAGCGGATGGCTCCAGTGCGTGGCTTGAGTGTTGTGGTCGATGTAATACTTGCGTCCACGCACTGTCCAATCTACAGACCATCCTGGGGGGAGTGGCAACTCCTCTTGTGATATGTAGCTCCCGACTCCTGTTCAGAATTTGAAAGACAAAAAATACGACGGCCAGTTTAATTTTTAAATAAATCATAATTAGGTTAAAAAAAAATTAACACTCCTTACCTTTATCACTATTCAATAAAAACATCCATGCTTATCTCTTATTATTTGATTCAGTTTGTACATGGATGCAGGATCATCAGATTGGTAATTTTTGTTGCTTTAAGGCGGTCATAATAAATTGGACGGGGGGGGGGGAGAGAAAGAAATTCTTTAAAAAAAATCAAAGTAATAAACAAATAATTGTCAATTAAATAGTAAATGCTGAGTTGATTTTATAGTGGGTTACAAAAGGATTATTTTCTGATGATCAAATACTTGCTGCTGAGAGGATATGATGAGTTTCTGACCTGATGAGTTGACCGATGAAGCTGAGGGAGTATTGAGGTCACTAGCAGCCATGCCAAACATGCCCTTCCCTAGAAGGTTTCCCCCAGGGTTCTGCTGGGCGTAGTGGCTTCGGATTTCCTGGTGGTACTGAGCTATCTGATAGTTGTCATCCATCTGGTGCAGGTTGTAGTAGTCACTGTTGGTGCTGTTGGTGCTGCCGCCACTGGTGGCACCCGTGTACTTATAGTAGGGCTGGCCCTCCAGGTTTTCGTCTGATTGCAAATCATCAAATAATGATGTCAAATTTCAAACATGTAAATAAGTTCTTGTTAAGGTTATTTACCAAAATTACCTTTTTTTTAATGAATTTTATTCCATTAAACAAATATTTGCAATCTTTGAAGAAGTTTTAAGATTTTGTAAAAAAACAAAAAAACATTTGTATAAAACAGAAATAATCAGCTCTAACAGAGATCTAGAAAACTAAAACTTTCTAATAATAAAAATAAGTAATCTTTTGGTAAAATAAGGTAGAAATAAAAAAATCAAAATAAAATAAAACTTTAAAATAAAAACGTGATCAGGATCTCTTCACGTTGCAAAAGTTTTAAAAAAATGATTTTTAAAAAATGGAAACACCGTGAAGATTTATACTGACAAAATAAAAGAAAAAATTTAAACTAATCCTGCAAAATATTATGGATCCTAAATAAAAAATGTGCCATCTTAGCCAGGTTGATCTCAAAACAAATCAATTACCATTCCAGAAATAAAATCAGAAAGGTAAATGGCTTATCTTCCCTGACCAGAGAGGTGAAGGGCTTACCTTCCCTGATGACCAGAGAGGTGAATGGCTTACCTTCCCTGATGACCAGAGAGGTGAAGGGCTTACCTTCCCTGATGACACTGAGAGCACTTCCTTGATCCTCTTGATGACTGTGACCAAACAATTTGGTTTGTGATGAGTCTGTGTTGTGACCCCCAAACCCACCTTGGGAGATGTTGATCATCTGGCGTGAGACCCCCGAAGCTACGCCGCTGACAGGCTGAGAGTAAACAACACCATAAGACCTGGGTATTGCTGATGTTACATCAGTGCGTGAGACAGGTGACGATGTCACCCTCAAGTTCTGAAAGCCCTGAGTAAGTTGACCCACGGAAGAAGATGCTGGAGTCTGCTGGGTGTATTGTTGATAATATTGCTGAGATGGTGGGTGTTGGGTGTACTGTGGATAATGTTGCTGGACAGATGGTGGCTGATGCTGACCGAGTCCCTGGGAAGCCTGTTGCTGTTGAACAAGTTGGGATGGATCAAACATCTGAGAAGATGTGACCCCCGACTGCTGCTGAAGGTATTTCATGATTTGTGGTTGTTGTTGCTGTTGTTGTTGGAAAATCTGTTGTTGCTGAGGTTGTGGCTGACTCCCTGCATAATATTTGTCTAATTCACCAAACATTGATGGATTGGTTTCATGAAACTGTGCAGTTTGTTGGACATTGGGTCTGGACACAAGTGTGGCTGCCGAGGCTGGTTGACCAGAAACAATTTGAGACTGAGGAATGTATGAGGCAGGGGTTCTTGTATTACGCCCCATCCTCTGGAAGGATGTTCCCTGCCTCACTGGTGTATGATAATCTGAGACAGATTAAATAAAAAAGAATCAATAGTAAAAAAATTGAAAGAAAAATCACAGATCAAAAGGTGAAAATAAGACAGTTTTTGTTCTCCATAAGTACCACAGTAAATAATTGATAAATAATTTTTTTTTAAGTAGAAAAAAAAGTATATATTACTATTAAAAATAAATAAATTCAAGTACTTCTCAAAAGAGGTGGAGTGTCTCTCTTGACATATCTGCCAGCTATGCCTTCATTCAGTCCAGATTCCTTTTTCTTCGCCAGTCTTCTCTTGTCCATTGTTACACTTCTTTTTTTTGTTTTATTTCTTTGTTCACTGCAATTTTAGAGGAAAAATATTTAATTTTTTTTTTTTCCATTTAAAAATAATTTTGAAAAAATCAACTTTAAGCTCATATCAAGGTTTAATAGCCATGCAAAAAATTGTATAGATTATTGGAAGAGTTTTACTTATGTAAGAACGTTTAAAGTATGTGCAAGCTGCAAGAAAATCCTAAATTTGCCTTGTATGAGTTAAAGTCAAGATAGATTTTCATAGGATGAAAAATGGGAACCTAGCAATATTTTAAGCTGAAGAAATACATCTGTATGAAAGACATATGTTCGCCAGTATAGGGCAAAATAACAAATGAGACATACCATTTTAAATGATCACCGTGCGAACTGTTAATGTGCAGCTACAAACTTCCATGAAAATAAAAAGCAAATATTAATGAATTTTTTTAAAAAAGGAAACATTGAGTGAAATGAAAAAATAAATTCAGATTTATTGTAAAAGGAATTCTTTAAATTTAAGAATTTACCATTTCCCGAGATTCCAAACTAATTAATTATTCAATCCTCAAGATCTTTTGCTATTCTAGACAATAAGAATAAATAAATAATAGCCTACCCTTGGGGCCACTTTAGAACCTCAATTGACTCTTTTTTACATATAAACTTTATATTTATAAAAACTCCCTAATATTAAGATTGCATTGGTTTGATATAAGTATCAAAAAACATTATTTATAGTTTTATTAGCAGAAAAGCTTTTTTCTTATCAGTTACCTTATACATTTTATGGGCATTTTAATGAGGGTATCATACAATTCATACAATATATAGATCTCTTATAATAATAGTGACTAGTCTACTGCTAGTACTACTCTTTATAATCCCAGCCAGGTAGGTTAGGTTTATTTAAAATACTAAATATGCTTTAAAAATCCATTCCATGCCACTTATATCTTCCACGACTATAACCTTGAAATTCATTTAATATTGGGTTAGCAATTCAATGGATCAATCAATGAATCATTTTCCGTGTGATGGAATTTTTAGTGCCTGGTCACTGGTGTAGGAAGAGAAAGACAGGGGGGCTGGCTCATCCCAGCTGACCCATTTTTTCAGACTAAAGAGAAGAAAAAAGTGGGTGGTGAGGTGAATTTACAATTCATTCAATTATTATATAAAATGTGGTTTATGTGTCATCTGCATGTTTTGTTGTTTTTGTGAATAGGGGCAGCAAAATCAAGGACCACCACAGATGTAAAAAAAAAAACGCTACACCCCTGGATTGGTTATAGGTCTGGTTTAGCTTAGTTCTAAGTTAGTGTATTAGTTTTAGGCAATTTAGGCTAGCAGTAGGCTCAGTAGCAGCCAAGCATGTTCCTACTAATACAATAGTCATAAAATAACAATTTGTATAAATAGTACAAGTTATGAATATTGACAATAAAAGCAATACTGGCAATAGTATATGCCACAAGTCAGAAGTTTCCAAACTGTGCACTGGTAAACTGGGGAGCAGGGGCTACCTGGCAGGGGCACCACAAAGTGTTCATAAAATTTCATAATTTAATATTACATATGACATCTATCAGATTTTGAGCAAACAACTGACTCACCACTTAGCAATAAATGTGTGCAGAAGCCTTTACAGATAGGTACTAGATGGAGATCTACAATAATGATTAAGTTAGGGTTATCTAATGTTTTAGTAGTTTCTCAGACTTACTTATCTTTGTTTAAATATAAAATAGTTGTCAGTTTCACACGTTCAGTTTTGAATAATAGATTGTATCAACCAAATTTTATGATCAAGTCGAATCAAGAAAAGTTATTGATTTATTTCTTTTTGTTCTAAGTTTTAAAAAAAATGGATAGATTTTTTAATTACTATAAAAACTTAAAATTAAAATATTTGCTTTTTTGCAGTGAACTTTTTTAGAATTTGACATAGGACGGTGCCTTTTTGGGAAAACTGGATACAACAAGTGTGCTGTAACTAGAAAAAGTTTGGGAACCTATTTGGCTATAGACTATAGGCCTATTGCTACTATATTATTATATATATAGCACACTTTAACAGGCAATATTATAGTTATAGGCAGGCAATACTGACTATGCTACCAACAGTTGTGTATCTAGGGTGCACGCTAACATTTTAGCTGCCCCCTTCAATGAAAAAAATCTCTGCAGTTGGCCGCAAATGCTGCCCCTTTTCTATTAACTCTATATAAAGATTAAAATTAAAATGCACCCAGGGGTGGATCGCCCCAACAGCACCATCCTTCCTTATAACTTATGCCACTTTTTTAATTAGATCAAGGCAATACTATTAGAATAAGAATATCAGAATAGTCTTAGTCTAGTACTTACTTTTGGACCCATAATTATTATTATAGTATAGTTAATTTGGACTAGACTATACTTAGTCTACTAACAGACGACTTGAACTAAAGACGCTTATAATTATAAGACTGAATTAAACACAGAGTTAATTCTTAACTTTCTTACATTATGTCTTTGAGTAGCATTTCATTAGTCTTTTAGTCGCCAGTTATTTTAAGTCAGTAGTAGTGGTAGAAGTAGAAGAGTAGTGAGTAGGGCGTATAGGGTCTGCTTTTTTATTTCATTTCTTGTCTTTTACTTTTAAAATATATGGCTTAAAAAGTTGTGGTGTGTTTTTTATTCGGATTATGTTTTACTCGTTTTACCAAAAGATGCTTGTACTATCAAATGAACCTCTTAAAATCATAAGGTGTTTTCATTTAAACTGTTACAAAACCCTGTGTTTACAACTACAACATTTGAGGAATAAAAAAAAAGAGGACATGATGATTACGTAATAGTTTAGTGTGTACTCAAAAAAACGGAAATGACATTTTGCACAGTGTGTTGATGTTGTCCCAAGCAACCAGCACCAAGGTGATGGGACGCCATCACAAAAACGAGTAGGGTGTGTGTTGTACTTTTTTTGATAATTTGCAGGTGCTCTTTAATCTATCGTTTTTATTGGAGTTAAACTAAAGTAGCACCATGTCAGAAGGAGAACAGGAAGCTGCAGCACTTGTTGCTAGTGAACCCGCAAAAGAGAAAGAATTTCGAAAAGCAAAAGTTTACATGTTGACAGCCAGCACCCTTTCTGGCCTTAATCTGTAAGTTAAAAAAATGTTCAAAACTATACTATCTCTATAAATATTAATATTGAATATTATTGCTAAAATTACAACATTTTTTGAATGATTGTTTAAGCTTCATTGCTTTAGAAATCTTGTTTCAAATTAAATTTCTCTAAAACTTATGAATATTATAAAAATTATATTGAAGTGAATTGTCAACACTACGACTGCACTCTATTTACGCTGCTTTGAGTATGTTTGAGACATCTGTTTAACTGAAATTATAAATAATGTAGACAAGACATAACTACATTTATAAATAAAATTATTTAATTAATTTAACTATGAACCAAGGAACATATTTTGATAGCAAATTTCAAATTAATATATTTACAGTTTGTTGTAGTAATATAATTTTTATGTATCAATGTATGGCCTAGATAGTTTTGCGTATCTCTGATCTGTTTACCTCTCAACTCTAAAAAGTCTAATACATTAAATGAGGGCCTTAAAAACTTAAGCCCTAATTAAAAGGACTAAATTTTAGTAATATTAATATTTTCACTTATAAAGACTCAATTTTCTTATGCTTAAAGCCCTTAAAAAGGATTTTTAGAACTTTGTACAATTCATTCATTCATTCATATTCATATTCCCTTATCTTAGCCTTTCGTTTAACATCCCAAATACCAAGGATTGGCTCTACCTTTTTTACTTCACAATGAATCAAATTATTTTGTTTATTCAGAAATGAGATTATAAAAACTTGCCTAACACAAGCTTTATTTTGTAAGTATTTTATATATATTTAACTGATACATGATTTCAGATATGACCATTTATCAAGAGTGTTAGGCAAAATCTTAGATGAGAGACCAGACAATGTGGTAGACATTTTTGAAGACATCAGCAAAGATGCTAAAAGAACCAAATTTACATCAGATGTTGACACAATACAGGACAAAGTTGATAGATCAACAGAGGTAGCTCTTGCACAAGTACAGAGAAAATTGTTCACAGTAAGTAAACTTAAGTAATATGACTTGTGGGCCTATGTCTCCATATGTTTTAACTCTATGAGTGCATCTTTTGCATCATTTGGAGAGATGCGGTCTTTGCTACCAGTGTCAATGTCATTCTGGTTGCTGGAGATTTATTTAGTAGTTTGAAATAAAGATACAAGACAATCATTTTAACTGCATTACGTTTAAACAAAATTTTTAAAGTAACCTTCACCACCATTTTTTTATAGTTAATAAAATTATTTCATCATTGATCTTATATAACTTTAATATTTAAGTTTAAGAGGTTATAATTACATGGAGTTCTTAATTTATAATTTAAAAAAATATAGGCAGCAGTCCTAATAATTAAGTTTGTAACAAGTGAAAGTAAATAAGTGGTTTGACACAATAATTAAATAATTAAATACATGCAACAATATTTGAACAAATAAAGAAATCCAATACATTTAGTGTCAGAATAGTAAAATTAATTTAAATTAGCAATCTCATTTTAACTAAAGTGTGTTGCCTCATTAGCTAGTGCCGGGTTTTATAATATTTTATGGGTGAATTTAGGAATAGTCCAAAAAAGTGTGTGAGTGTGTGGAAGGGGGGGGGTTTGATTAAAAAAGGGGAAACCTTGCAATCACATTTATTTTTGTATAATTTTTTTTGTAATAATCAGTGAATATCTTTGATGCTTATTTTAAATATACTTACTTACATAGTATAATATCTTTTAGAAAAACTAAAAAAAATAATATACATCTTTATAGAATTTTAAACCCTCAAAGTTATATAGCAGTCCCCAAATTGACCCTGAAGTCATCAGTTCTGGCTGGGGCAATGAATAATTAAGGTAAACTTTGATTTGACATCAAAGCCTGACCTTAGTCTTTGTTAGCTATTTTGATAGTCACATAAATATATTTATATTGTTACAGAAGCAGGGTGAAGATGGGGAGGATGAAGTCCCTCAAGAAGAGGAAGTGGAAACTCCTTTACCTAATCTTATGGAGCTTTGCTTTTTCTTTGAACAAGCTGGAGTAGGCCTGAATCGAGAGGAAGTTATTCGTGTTTGGTTAGCAATGAAGAGTCTAGTAGATAATCACCCACTACAGCATGTCAGATTTTGGGGCAAGATTTTTGGAACTGAACAGAATTATTATGTAGCTGAAGTAGAGTATCGAGAAGGAGATGAAGAAGAAGATGAAGATGAAGAGGTAAATTGATGTGAATTCTTTGTTTTTTTAAGTTTTTAAAAACAAGTTTAGATATTTTTTTTTGGAGATTTTCTAATGCTCCCCAAAAATGTGAATGACTGAGAGTTTTATTTAAATTGTCTCAATTTAAGGAATATTGATGCTAGGAATTCTATTTGGTGGGTTCTGTGGACCCTGTCTACAGTGTCAGAGTTCTATAATGCAGATCCTTCTCTATTGTTCCACACGAGGTCTCTTTGGGTCTTCAGAGGTTTTTTTTTCCCAGTGCTGTCCATTTTAGTGCTTGCCTGGGAAGTGCTCTTAGTAGCATCCTACAAACATGCCAAAGCTAACTCAAGCCTGTAGGCCCTATATTACAGTATGGTCTCTGCTATGGTTATCATTCCTGATCAGCTTCCACTTCTTTATTACATTTTTTCATCTGCCAGAATTTCAGGATATGTAGCATTTGTTAGGAAACATCTAACTTCCATTATGGTAATGCTAGTAGTCTTCATGGAGTCTTCCATTATGGTAATGCTAGCAGTCTTCAAGGAACCTGATCTATAGGGGAGAACACTCAAGAAAGACATTTTTAAAAATTATGATTTGAATTTTTTTTTAACACACACTAAAATTTTCATGAAAAAATTTAATCATGAGATAATCATAGTCATAATATTTATGATAACTGTCTAAATTTCTTGTTTTTTTTTGTTTTTTTATAAGTGGTTAAATATTATTTGTGTGCTAAGGACTTAATGATGGGGGTTTCTGACATTAAAAAAGCTGCCCAGGGATTCATGGGCTGTTTTGTTTAAAAAATGGTCTCAATGCGATTATTTATTGTGCATCATAAGATTAGGAGATTTAGTTTATTTACTTCTTTACTTCTGTGGACTGCTTATAGAAAAAAAATATGATTATTGAAAAATTAAAATTTAAAAATGCGTAATTACAGTAGAACCCTGTTTTGTCGACGGCCTCAGGGTTTTGCCAAAAAGCGTCCAGATAACCGATGATTGTGATAAACGAAAATCAATATGGCGACAATATATTAACATGTGCTTGCAATTTCTTTATGTACATGATGTGCGTTTATAAATGACAATGTACATGCACGTGTTTTTGGATTTTTTTTTTTTACACATCAGCGTTACCGCGATTTGTTTGATGAAGCGATTGGCATTTTATAAAAATGCATTTTTCTGGATTATCCCGGAATTCTAGATTCGTGAGACTAAATATTTTTCAGCTCCGGGTTGGCGAGTTTTTATTTTCTCTCACTCTGGATTTTCCAGTTCAGTTTATTCAAATACGGATTCTGGGTAAATCAACATGTTAGAGCACTTCAAAGCCTATTAATAATTAAGTGACAAGCAGGTTTGCTATAAATAGAACAGGTACTACGACCTCGTTCTTTTGTTTGCTTCTTGCTGTGTCAAGTTAATTGCGTGGACAAAGATATGGTCATTTCATTTCAATTACTACAATTTGAAGTAGGCATGATTCTGTTCTATGTAATTTTCAAAAGCCGCGATTGGTCATGGGGATTGAGATAACTGAGGTTAAATAGCAAATTTGGCCACCTTTTGTGCTTAAGATATCAGGCTTCGGCATCATAAATGAATCGACATAATCCAGGAGGAAATGCTAAGCCATAGAGAGAATTTGGCAGTTCCACTTTAAAAAGGTCAACGTAACAGGGTTGGCGAATTAACCAAGGTCGAGATTTCAAATTGAATTAGCTTTTTTAAAATTATTATTCTTGTTAGGAAGAAGAAAAAGCTGAAGAGGAAACAGTTGATAAAGATCCAGATGAAGAAGCAGAAGCAGGTATATTTGTTGTCTCCTTATGATATCTACTTAAGACTTCTCCTTATCATGTCTCCTTATGATGTCTCCTTATGACTTTTTCTTTAGTGCATTGTACTTATGATGATTTCTATTTGTTATTACAAACAATTTATACATTCATAGGGTAAGGTAAATCTAGGATGTAAATTTAGTTGACCAAGGGTTAAATTATAATTTTGTAGCTGTTTACTTTCCTTATATTACACTTATATATTATTATACTTTTTTGCTCGTATAGATGGCTGTTGTCTTCTACCCTAGGTGGTTGATTTAAAAAAAATAAAAGTTTACTTCCTCCTCAATAATTTCTGCTACACTTGGCTAAAGAGTTCATTCCACCTGGAATCTCTTGCTTTGAGTTTAAGCATTGCCCAGAGCACATGAGGCGCCTGAGTCAGTTGTCTTTATCAGTGTTATATCTGATTGTAATATTTTACAGGGCCTCATAACACTTATGTCTTGAAGCAGAAGACTAATAATTGACTAACAATATCATTATGTTTCTTATTTCTCAGAGGAAGTAGAGGAAGATGACACACCTAAACCAGACTTCAAACCACCTGCACTTGTACCTAAAGAAGAAAATAGAACAGGACCCAATAAAAAGACTTACTTTGTCTGCAATGATCGTAAGTGCAAAAGATATTTAAAAATTCTATAAAATATTTCAAGACATAAGAAGTACACCTCACAGCTCTCTACAGAAATTATTGAAGGTTTTCAATATTTAATATAAAGACAGCAATAAATAAAATGAATAATAAGTGGAAAGTTATTGTGGTGATAACCAGGAAAATTCAAGTGGCGCAGAGTCTTAGTTTTTTGGTTTAGATTTGAATTTTGTAATTACAGCTAAATTTTATCAAATTTATAAATGCTATTTGTAAATGGAGTGTTCAACAAAAAAAAGTAGACAATAGCCTACAGTCAATTTTTGTTGTTGTAATAGTCATATTTCAATGTAAGCAAATATAGAGGAAAACACATGATCTAAGTTACAAGTGACATTGGGAAGAAATTATGAAATTGGCTTTAAAGGAAAATATTCTTTGTAATGAAATGTTCATATTTGTTTTTCAAGCTGGAAAACCTTGGGTGAAATTGCCTTTAGTACAACCCAACCAGATAACAGCTTCAAGACAAATTAAGAAATACTTCACTGGGAGGCTGGATGCTGCTGTGAGTTCAGGTGCACTAGGCCCATGCCTAACACTGCTGATATATAAGATCCTCAGTTCCATTAAAAAAACAACTATTAAGATGACAAAATTCTTTACATCTAAGGCCTTAAGTAATCTCACTCCTATAGCATTCTTTTGTAATTTACATGATCGCCTCTGCTGTGATGGCATGCTATGATAGTTTGTCATATTATCCACATGAACATTATTTTGAAACAAACAATTATGTTAAACTGTGAAATGTTTTAAAGGATTGTGTACCCCCAAATGTTCTTCTTATAGAAAGTTAGTTTGCCTCTTGCCACACATAATCTAAAATATTCAATTTTATGCCCATTATAAACATAGTTTGCTAACCCCTGTTTTAAATAAGTATTTATTATACAAATTGTGACATAGTTACAGCTGCTTTAAATAGTCCCTGACTATAAAATTGTGACATTTTATCACCAGGTTGTAAGTTATCCACCATTCCCTGGAAATGAAGCCAATTACCTTCGGGCACAGATAGCACGTATTAGTGCAGGGACACATATTTCTCCACTGGGATTTTACCAGTTTGATGAGGAGGAGGAAGAGGAGGAGGAAGGAGAAGGTAATATGGAGCTCAGTTTATACATGTAAATGAATGTTGGTGTGGTTGCAAATATGATACTTTAATTGTTTCAGAATTAAATTTTAAAAAATCTTCAACACATTTTGCTACTGATACAAATTTGAGAAAATATTTCATACTATTACACAAAATGGCTTCACAGTGTCAAATTTGATAAATTTACAGCTAGGGACCATTTTGTTGAGAATATTGACTTTGAAGGCATCCCATTGAGGGATTTAACTGATCCATCTCTCAGCAACTGGGTTCACCACGTCCTGCATATTTTGCCACAGGTATGGATGGTCTCCCATTTCTTTGCTTAAAGTTATTGTTAAAATTTAACCATGGGGGAAAAAGCAATCTTTGACCAATAAAATGTGATGCAAATGGATTTATGTATTTGATATTTAAAAACTGTTGTAGTATCTGAAAGGATAAGGCATCCATCTACTCCATAATTTCTCTATCATCAGGGCCGTTGTACATGGTGGAACCCAGTCCAGAAAGCTGAGGAAGATTTTGAAGAAGACGAAGAGGAGGAGGAGAGGGAGGAGCCTGACGAACCTGAACCTGAAGTCGGTCCTCCTCTGCTTACCCCCTTAGCAGAAGATGAGGAGGTGGGAGGCATGGCCGCCTGGACTCCAACACTCTCCTCTACATTAATACCGCAGTATGCCATCGCTGTCATGCATTCCAACCTGTGGCCTGGTGCACACGCCTTCGCAGTTGATAAGTGAGCATACAATTTAATCACCTTCTTGATGTTTAAATACCAAAACATTAGATGCCTGATTATGTTTTTTTTTATTGTCCTACCATTCCTTTGAATGTCTTTCTAAATCTTCTTTATCTTTAGATATAAAAATGGGATATTTAAGGGACAAAGTGTTATTCTAGACATATTTTATTCATGAAGTACTTTTAACAATGTTTTTAGATTTAAAAATGTTTAAATTAGAATTTCTACCTCATTTGAAATAAGTTATCCATAATTCTGTCTTCTCTAAAGGAAATTTGAGAATGTTTATATTGGGTACGGTCACAAGTACAAGCCAGAGAACTACACACCACCAAATCCACCACCGATTCAAGAAGAGTTCCCCAGTGGCCCAGAGATTACAGAGGCTGATGACCCAACCCCAGAAGAAGAGGCTGCACTTAGGGCTGCACAGCAGGAGGCTGCGGAAGCAGAGGAGATGGAAGAGCCTGAAGGGGATGATGATGAGGACGATTAGATTATTGGAAGATGAGGAGGAGGATTTGCCTACAGGAAGCTTGATCCTTGGACTGATAAGCAGTAAAGTCTACCAACTGTTCACAGTTTGAAATTCAGGTTAAAGGAATTTCAGAATTCAGTCTGTGATGAGAATCATGTGATGAGCCTTGAAAAGAGGACACCAATTCAACAACTATTACAGTTATGATTAGGCAAAACCACATCATTTTCATTGTAATTTTCTAACTGTCTTATATCTTCATCCTCTTCTCTTTCTTCCTTCTTTTCCTACACTACACTGGATATTTCCAACGGTTCATGTGACACTAAGAGAATACGACATGAAAACAAGCTCAGAAGGAAAACAGTTATTCTGAGCTTTATACAGCCTCAAATAATTTGAGTTCTTTCTATTTCAGACTAGTTTATTGGTATTAAGAAGTTTTTTTTTTTTTTTACACCTCTCAGATCTTGTGAAATTATATATGTATTTACATTTTTTTTTCATTTTGAGAGGAGACTGATGATCAGTACTTTGACATTTTTATAAAGTTGTACAAAAGATTGACATAGTATTATATGATTTACATTGGTATAAATGGTATTTATGGCTGATTATAATTTTAAATAATATAAGAATGTTCCTCAGTCAATTGTTTGAAAATTATTAATTATTTAAATTTTTGGGTAAGATTTTTAAATTAACTCTGATTTTTTAGTTCTTTATTTCTGTAACAGCGGTCTTGTTTAAGTGAGTTTGTGATGTGACCAGTGACTGTGTCTGGGTTGATTGTGAGTTTGTTGCTTGTGATAAAAGTGTCATGTATATACAAGCATTAAATTATAACACGTTTTTATGGATGCCTTTGTTAGTTGATTTAAGTTATTTTTGTGTGTACTGGGGGGTGGGGGGTGGAGCTGCTTGGCAATGTGTGCAAATCTATTATTTTACCTTGAGGACATTATAAAATATATTTGCTGACCCACCTTAGCAATCTAGTCTTTTAAAATGTTCTCCCTTCTTGAGGTATTGAGGAATGGTTTATTTTTAAAAGAGAAATCTCAACTGGCCAAAGAGAATAAATTGTTGAATTGTCACATACAACTAACTACAAACTCAATTTATTTTATCAAACTTTTTTTTTACTTCATTTTGCACTTAAAAGTGTACACAGTCAGTGGTGTATCTAAGGTTTGTGCCCCACCCCCCCCCCTCCCCCAATCTTTCCAGGGCAGGTCAAGTTTTTTGCCACCCACTTCCAGAAAAAAAAAATTTGCAGTTGGCAGAACATGCTGCCCCTCAATACAGACTTTTTTTTTACTTCATTTTGCCCTTAAAAGTGTACACATTCAGTGGTGTATCTAAGTTTTGTGCCCCACCCCCCCCCCTCCCCCAATCTTTCCAGGGCAGGTCAAGTTTTTTGCCACCCACTTCCAGAAAAAAAAAATTTGCAGTTGGCAGAACATGCTGCCCCTCAATACAGACCCCCCACCCCACCCCACCCTTCCTAGGTCACTGTGCACAGTAGAAAATGAGGGACATTAGAAATGTTCCCCTGGTCAATCCCAACTAGGCCAGAGAGGCTGGTGCAGACTTTGGTGGATAAATTAATATAATGATATGGTCTATGGACCTGGTTTTTTAGAATCTAAATTTGGTGATGGTCACAAGGTTAAAACCAGAAGGCAGTATTTGGTCCACACAACGTTTTGCACTGTGACATGAATGGTTTTTAAGGGTAATTAAAATTTGATTAAAGAAATATTGGTTTTATAATGATTTTTGTGTACAAGCTAAATTATGCATTATTTATGTTAAATCAAAGTCCTATTACCCAAAAACAGAAGGCATGTGTCTCTTAACACATAACTCTTTCTCCATAAAAACATTACACAGTTATCTCCCTTTGAACATAAATCTTGCTGAAACAAAGAATATGTTGGGCACTTGGTGGAGTGGCTATGGGGGGCATTTGGTGGAGTGGCTATGTGGGGCATTTGGTGGAGTGGCTATGGGGGGCACTTGGTGGAGTGGTTATGTGGGGCATTTGGTGGAGTGGCTATGTGGGGCATTTGGTGGAGTGGCTATGTGGGGAATTTGGTGGAGTGGCTATGTGGGGCATTTGGTGGAGTGGCTATGTGGGGCATTTGGTGGAGTGGCT